TTTTGATTAATTTAATATATATATATATATATATATATATACACACACGTATATATATTATCTTGTAACTTTTAACTTATCTATGTCTTTGCATATGAAGTGGATTTCTTGTCAAGAGAATATATTTAGATCTCTTATAAAGTCAATCTAGCAATCACTACTTTTAGCTGAGTTGTTAAGCCCATTTACACTTAGCATTGTTATTGATTAAATTTGCTTTTGCATTTGTAGCAATTTTCTAGTTCTAATCTGCCCTTCATTCTTTATTCCCCAAACTGCTTTTGGATTGAGTATAATTTATTATTGCGTTGTATCTTCACTGTTGACTTTATATCCATTTTGCTAACTTCTATTTTAGAAGTTTCTTTAGACTTGGAGTGTGTGTCTTAACTTATTACAGTCAACTCCTGGATACTATGTCACATCATATGTGGTCTATGCATCTTCTGATTTCTCCCTCCTATCCTTTGTCCTGGCTCCATATTTTAATTTTATATCTGTTACCTGCCCCCATACTCAGCATGTGTTTTTGTTTTTAACAGTAAATTGCCTCTTGGAGCAATTAAAGATAAGCCAAGAGGACTTGTATTTACCTGTATTGTGATCAATGGCAGAGCATGCCATTTGTCTCCGTAGGTGTGTTTCTCTGGCATTGTTCCCTGTGCTTTGAAAACCCATCTTGGCACATCTTGAAGCACAGGCCTGATAGAAATAATCTCGTGTGGCTATTATTTATCTGGAGAAATCTGTTTTCCTTTCAGTTATAAACATCTTACTTGGTGCAGATGGCAGGTGGTTTGGTTTTTCTCCTTCCACTGTCTAAGGTTGTTGCAGTGTTGCCTTTGAGCTTGCATTGTTTCTGACAAGAAGGCTTGTATATTTGTCTCTTTGCTCATCCATAAACAACGTGTCTTCTTCTGTGGCTGCCTTCCAGGTTTTCTTCTTCGTTCTGCCTTCCTTAACTGGAACGTCATGTGTCTACCTGTGGATGCGCTGCAGGAGTTGTTACTGTTGACAGTGCAGAAGGATTTGTGCTGTGCATCTGAGCTGCTTGGCTCTGAGGGTTTTTCACTCTCTGTCTTCTTGTGTATGCGTCTGAGTGATTTCCTGTGACTCACCCTCCAGGCCCCTGATCACTTACCCGACTGCCGACTCCTGAGCAGTCAGTCCTCCACCTCTGCCATCATCGTCCTCATGTCTAACCTGCTACGTGGTGTCTTTTTATGGTTCCCTCCCCGATGCTCACCCGGCTCATGCTTTTCCCTACATTCCAGGCCTGTTCCTCACAGTTATTCTAAAACCCGCACTGTCGGTTCCAATGCCGGGATTGTCTCTGCGATGAGTCCGTCAATTATTTGTCAGTGAGTTTTGTGTATTGTTTTACTAGTGTGTGTGTGTGTGTGTGTGTGTGTGTGTGTGTCTGGGCTGAATAAATGTTGACTGAACACTGAACATCTTACGTGCAGCGGAAAAGACGAGGAAATAGGTCTCTTCCTGTAGCAGCATGGGCAGCTGAATCAACCTTGACGGGAGCTGAGCTGGGGTTAGGTTTTGTCTTCCTTCCCTGCAACACAAGCAGCAAATTAGTCCTGAAGCCTGAACCTAGGTGGGCGGCTGGGGTGCCCAGGGCGTCCTCACAGGGTGCTCCATCCTCAGTTTTCAATCCTCCACACAAATGCTCGCACAACAGATAACAGATCTGCGCTCTCTCTCTCTCAATATATTTTTATTGATCTCAGAGAGGAAGGGAGACGGTAATATATTTTTATTGATCTCAGAGAGGAAGGGAGAGGGTAGAGAGAGATAGAAATATCAATGATGACAATCATTGATCAGTTGCCTTCTGCACACCCCACACTGGGGATCGAGCCTGCAACCCAGGCATGTGCCCTGACCAGGAATTGAACTGTGACCTCCTGGTTCATAGGTCAATGCTCAACCACTGAGCCACGCTGGTTTCGTGACCTGCTCTCTCTTAAGACAAGTAACCCTTCCCGGTGGCAGCCTCTGAGGCTGGCAGTTCTGTGCCCACCAAGCTCTGCTGGTCGCTGAGGCCATGGAAGACTCACCTGCTGTTCCGACCTTGGCTGGGGCCTGCAGGGTGGTTTCCCTAGGCCTCTCTGTCACTCTCCCTGTGGTGACCTCCGCAGTCCTGCCTGTGTTCCTGCTGGTTTTTGTCAGGGAGACCATTTCCGAGGCACTGTCCCTGGCGGGCCTTTGTGCTCATCTTCCCTGTTATCTCTATGGGCTCCCTGTGCCCTGGGCCATCAGGACTGGCTCCTCCTCCCTGTGATGCCAGTGCTTCCAGGAGGCAGCCCCTTCCCTCTCCGGGGCTGGTCCTTGTCCCTATCCCTGCCCCCCCCCCAGGGCAGCCCTTGCTGGTGGCCAGCCTGCCTTTAAGTTTTACATGAGCACACAGTGGGTCTGAGGGCAGGGGCTGTGAGGGAGCGAGCCCCTTTCGTCTCATGTCCATGCTTCTGTGCTGTCAGATTAGCCAGCACGTGGCGTTGGGGTCCTTGTTAGTCTCCTCTGCTCCCACGTTAACCTGCCTTCCCCTCCCCTCCACCCCCCTCGGCTGAGGAAGTGAGGCTCCTCAGGGGAAGGAACGCTCCCCTCCTTGATTTCCAATGACTTGGCCCCTGCAAACCTGGCTTTCTTAGGGTTTCAAGACCATTTGCCACCTTTTTCCGGTTCATCTCTCATCATTAGGGCAAGGATGATGCTCTTTCCAGGGGCTCCACACCAGGCGGACGTGAGAGCAGGCTGTGATATTTCCCCCGACCCATCCACTCCCTCATCAGTTCGCGCAGACGGTCAGCAGCTGAATTCCAACACCCCACCTGCAGGTGAGGACTGCCAGGTTAGCTACGATGGTCCTCAAGGGTCACACCTTCAGGAAAGAATGTTACATCCCCGTTCCTACCATAACCCTGAGTCCCAGAGCCACAGTGAGAGTCTGGAAATTGAGCTCCCATCACATGACTCACTGACCTGAAAAGTCCCTATGAATCTCTAGAAACATCTGGCCTCCATTTATTTTTGTGATTTTTTTTTCAGCTGCCACCAAATTAGCTTTCTGCCTTCCGCTTCCACAACCAGAATAGCTGTCTCCATCTCCTTTCCCCCCTGAAGACAGAGCTTTCAAGCTTCCTTACCAACTACCCCAGGTCTCTCGGTATCGATGCCGAACCTCTTTCATCACAGTAACACTCGGGGCCACACAAATTAGTGCGTAATAGATGGGGGCGTGGGGGGGGGGCAGGAGGAGGCTTACAGCTGTTCCTAAGGAAAACAACACAATCGTGAATAAACAACAAGACAAGAATGAACTGCGTTCCGCATGCTCACAGCGGGAAGCCTCGGTTTCTTCCTCCAGCTCTTGGCTTCCCGGGGGAAGGAAGGCAGCAGTGATCCCTCGTGGTCCCACAGAACTTGAATGTCGCCCAGCAAGCTCTGGTCCCCTTTATATTTCTATTACAAACTAGAATATACTTGCAATGCATTCCTGTGCAAGTCAAACTATGTTTAACAACGTTACTTGAATAAACATGCAAAATGCATTTAAAAATCCTGAGGGGAAATACGTATTTCCTGACAGGGAGGTGTCAGGTAGATACAGTGGGCAGGCTTAACGTTGCTGAAATGAGGAAAAATGACTTTACGGCAAGATCAATGCTTTTCCCTGCAGCTACATTAATTACTCCTGGGCTTGCTCGAGTGGCCGTGGTCACAACTGTTGTTATTTCAATGCACACGTGGGTCGTGCTGCAGGGAAATGCTCGTCTGGACAATGTGGAGCTCAGACCTGTATGTTGGTGCTTGCCTCCTGTTGGTTAAGCGTCTGGGTGATCCAATGATACTTGTTTCAGCGATCAGTGTGACCGGGGGATCACTGAGATTGCACCAGCTTCTCTCTTTTCTAGAAGGATAACCCTCTTCAAGGAGGAGGTTTGAGCACTTGTAAGATGTCCCAATTCTTCACAAGTTTGATCAGTGACACTCGCAGTGGTTCTCAACCTTCCTGATGCCGCGACCCTTTAATACAGTTCCTCATGTTGTGGTGACCCCCAACCATAAAATTATTTTCGCTGCTACTTCATAACTGTAATTTTGCTACTGTTATGAATCGTAATGTAAATATCTGATATGCAGGATGTATTTTCATTGTTACAAATTGAACATAATTAAAGCATAGTGATTAATCACAAAAACAATATGTAATTATATATGTGTTTTCCGATGGTCTTAGGCGACCCCTGTGAAAG